TGTCAGATCTGTCTGAAAATGTTCATGATTATTTAATGTCACATGTTCTGACTTGTTTATTGAAAGATCAACGCTTTCAGGGACATTGAAAGTGTAGAAATAGATGGCTTCAACACACTAAATGTTGAAGCCATCCTATTATAGTCACCACATGACGTAGTTCAACTTTTTCTTTTAATTATTGATCTAGAGAGTCCAGAGAATTGTACTGCACTAGTTTTTAACATTATGATATGAATCAGAGATGTGTACACACGACACACACACACACACACCACACACACACACACCTTTGGGATATTTCTTTGTTAATCTAATGTTATAAAAACTATGTTAAAAAACAGTGACAACAGTGGTAGGTATTCATATCATTTATCTACAACTGAATGAGTGTGTGTAGATTTTAATTCAATATGACAGTTTCATAGTACTTTTTGACTAAATGTGAATTGTAAATGTTAAGTTAGTGAATTGATAAAGTCATAATATGAATTATACATGACAACTTACTATTTTGAACAGCAGGTGGCAGTAAAACTCCACTTATGGCTTAACAGACCATCATTTTCACTTTTTAACTGTCTCTACAGGCATATTTTGTCGATCTGTCTGAAAATGTTCATGATTATTTAATGTCACGTGTTCTGACGCTGTTTATTGAAGAGATCAACGCTTTCAGGGACACTGAAAGTGTAGTAATAGATGGCTTCAACACAGTACATGTTGAAAGCCATCCACATGAAGTAGGTAGTTCAACCTTTTATTAATTATTGATCTAGAGAGTCCAGAGAATGTACTGCACTGGTTTTAACATTATGATATGATCAGAGATGGAAAACACCATTTACAGCCAATACTGGCAATTTACCATTGGAAATACATGGTTTTAAAGCTTTTTTAACAGTTATAGCGCCACCTATGGTCCGATCTCCATGAAACTGTGCATGCTTCTTCAGCATGTTATGACACATATGCTCATCAATTTTTGTAAAGTTCTGAGTTTTCCTTTAGGATTTACAGGCTTTTGGGGGCTTTTTGTTCACGCCCCCTTTTGTAAATGACCCTGTTTAGCAAGACAAATGACAAAGTTGAACTTTTTTTGGATAATTATTGATCAAGAGAGTCCAAAGAATTATCCTAGACTAGTCTGGTTCCGATCGGGCAAAAAACCAGGGACTAGTTCGCAAAAGTAGGTTTTTAACATATTCGTGAATATTTAACGAACGAATTGATTGACAGCAATGGTTCTTGAGGCAAAGTTGTTCATCATGAGGAGATCTATCAATTGATATACATTTTGGGGGTGTGTGCAACACCACGTGATTACAGAGCAATAAAACTCGTTAGCGCCAACTAGTGGCCGATTTCTTTCAAAATTTTTACAGACCTCTAGGGCCATGAGTCGAACATTCCCACGAGTTTCGTTCGATCGGCCTTCGATTAACCTTGTTTCATAGATGCTCAAACTTCATTGGCCGATGGCGGCCATTTTTTTTTGAGATACACCAATGTCCTTATAGACTTACATGAGGCCTTGGACCAAGACACTGCATACCAATTTTCAAGTCAATCGGACTGACGGTCAGGTGTTATCTGTTTTTTTCATTTTATAGCGCCACCTAGTGTTCAATCGTCGCGATTTTTTACTGTCACCTCAAATTGAACTCTTACACATGTGTGTACCGAGTTTGGTGAAGATATCTCATTTACTTCTCGAGCTATAGCCATTTAGTAAAATAGGCTCCTCCCACAACGTTTATTTTGCTCCCCTAGCGACCGGAACGAGAAATTTTCAACATTTTTTTGATAATTATTGATCTTCAGACTCCAGAGAACATTTCTGCACTGGTGGTTGTTTGGTTCGATGATCGGCAAAAAATCCAGGGACTAGTTCGCAAAAGTAGTTTTTTCGACAAAATTCAAAATGGCGGAAAAATCTATCATGACGGAAATGAAATCGGAGATATACGTTTTTTTTCGTCAGGTGACCAGCTTTCCACGATATAAGACACTTGAGTGTACGACTTACGGTCTAGGAGTTATGAGCAGTTTCGCGCAATTGGTCGCATATAGCGCCACCTATGGGCCAATCGGGCTCATAATTTGATAACCTCTCCTCGATTTTTGTACTACCATCTGACAAAGTTTCAGAGCTCCAGCACTTACGGTTTGGTCTGCACGATGCGTTTTAGGCAGAATAATAATAATAATAATAATAAAAATCAATACAAAACACAATTTCAGCACTTCGGTGCTAAAATCATACAATTACAATAGAGTTTCAGCACTTCGTGCTTGAACCCCTAATTAAAGCTGCAAGCAGCATTTTGCGGGGTTCAAGCAGTTTAGGCCTTTAAGGCCTTTAAGCACAAAAGCATCAAAAGACATTAAGTTTTATGTAGCAAGCATTATTTACCATGATAAACCATATTTCAATGTGATTTTTCATGATTTACCATGTTCTAGTATGATTTACCATGAATCTAACATGAGTTTCCATAGTTTACCTTGATATACCATGTTATAGGATGGTTTACCACAATATAGCAAGTGAAAAGACTATTAATAAGAAAGTGGCCAGCAGAGGGCAGTAGAAGACCACTTATTGGCACACTTCCATTTTGAAATACTTTGTTTCTCCAATATTCTGCACTAAAGCAAACCATTTTTTTCATGTTAACTTCATAAAGCATGCTTACACACAAATGCACGCACACGCACACACACACACACACATTTATGCTTATAAGTATAACACACCGTTGCCATGAAAAACAGAGCGTTGCCATTGATTCTAAACGTAGAGACAGAACGGACTATTTTTCTTTTTTATCGGCAATCGTTTTTTAAATCAATAAACTCCTGTTTATATCTATATTTTGAGTCAAATTATTGATTTACTTGGTAGGTAGCAATGTAATAAGCAGATGAGCAGCTGAGCGTCT